GTAGATCGTCCGCTCACTCAGGGTCGGGCCTCTTGTGTGCGCTCCGAACTCGCGAGGTTGCGACGCGGCACCGTCTAGCAACGCCCCATGGCAGCCCTTCCGGCCCAGAGCCTCACCACGAGGCTCCGCTAGCAACTGTTACATCTCTCTGCACCCCCCGACAGTGCATACAGCTTCACCCGCAACACTAGAAGCTGTGTCCAGTCAAACCTTTATGATAAACCTAAAGGACACAAAACGGAGTGGGTTTCCACGTAAGGGCGCCTTTGGGGCCTTTTGGAGGCTTCCTCGGTTCCTCCCGGGGGCCTCTGGTGGCTTCATCGGGCCACCCTGATTCTAACCGCGGTATCCCTGCACGACGGGGTCACGATTTGGAATGCTTCGGGGGGCGTCTTGGGGCCGTCTTGGGCCGCCTTGGGGCTCTCTTGGACTGCCTGGGAGCTCTTTCAGGTAAGTTTGGGGCGATGATCTGGCCTCCTGGGCGGTCTCGGACGATCGGAAGACCCGAAGAAAAAAGCATGTCCCAAATAATGTTAAATTTACCCCAGTGCGACCCTACCTAGAAGTTGGAGCCCCTAGGAAAGCAGCATTAGTTGCTATGATATGCTATGCTATGTTATGACATGCTATGCTGCGCTATGCTATGATATGCTATGTTATGCTATGCTGTGCTGCGGTATGTTATGCTATGCTATGCTAAGCTATGTTATGTCATGCTGCGCTGTGTTATGATAAGCTATGATGTGCGATGCTATGCTGTGCTGCGCTATGATATGCTATGCTATGCTATGCTGCGCTATGCTATGCTATGCTAGGCTGGGCGTTGCTATGATATGCTGTGCTGCGCTATGCTATGATATGCTATGTTATGCTATGCTGTGCTCGGCTATGCTAGAGCTCGGCGAATCTAAGAAAAAGGTAACTTAAGCTAAGACAAACCTGAGCTAAGATGAAGCTAAGCTAAGCTAAGATGAAATAAACTAAGCTGAGATGAGATAAGCAAAGCTAAGCTCAGGGGACGCAACTGGGGGAACCGCGGGGCGGATCCTGGGGGAACCGCCTGGGGCGATATCCACTGCCCGGCCCCTTTAAGCAAGAGGGTAACAACCCTTCTAGGCAGAGCCTAGGTAGGGAACAATTGGGGCATCTATATTTGTGTACTTTTCGGGTCGTGTGTTGGGCGTCTGGTGGGTGTCTCGGCACCCTTGGGGCTTTCGAAGGGACCGTTTGACAGCCCTCCTGACCGTTTTGGGCCCGCTGCTAAGGCCCAGCAAGGGCTTCCAGGAGCCCCGGAACGCCCGGGGAACCTTTTGGGCGTCCAGGGGGCCCCGGGCCATGGATCCGGGGGTCCCGGTTTTTCTGGGGGGAGGGGGGCATGGGGGGGTCCCCCCCCCCCCATGCCCCCTCCATGTGTGTATACATACACGCACACACACATACATATATATATATATATATATATATAGACATACATACATACATGTCTGCATACATTTGTATATATGTATGAATATATTTATACACATGTATGACTATATATATGTGTGTATATATATGGAGAGAGAGAGAGAGAGAGAGAGAAAAGGGAGGGAGCGAAAGCGAGAAAGAGCGAGAGAGAAAGAGAGAGAGAGAGAGAGCGCGCGAGAAAACAAAGAAAGAGGAAGCGCTTGCAGCAGGCCTGCCGACTGCACATACCAAGGCCTTTCCAGACCCTTGCAGATCCCCACAAACTCCCCCCAACAAACAAAGCAAAACAAACGCACACGCACACAGACACACAGACACACACACAGACACACACACACAGACACACACACACACAGACACACACACACAGACACACACACGCACTGACACACACACACACACAGACACTTTTGAGAGTCGCAGGACGGACCAAGTCTCAGGCCGTTCGAAAAATAACCGCCGACGCGCACGCGCCGGCTAGGAAAGAAAGAAGTCACTCACACGATCGGATACAGGCCAAGGGCTAAACAGAACTAGAAGGACAAAGGGCCAGCAAAACAGGGGCAAAAGGGGCCCTGCAAAGCGCGTAAACACACGCACACACGCATCGCCGACTCTCTCAACACTCCTCTGTACTCCCTGATCATATCGCCTCATCTCCATAACCTATCTCATCCGCATCATCATCCACCTCTTATGCGCTCCTGCCCATCAACCATCTCACAATTTGGCTACTACTCTCCTCTCTCCTCTGATGCTGTGTTGATTTGAGCCCGCATACCTCGCCCACGGTGCCTTACCCTGGGTCGTCCCAAATTGGCTTGCCAAGTTGCTTTCCCATCAGTGCGTTCTCGGCCACTCATGAGATATCCTGGCTGCATCACTCGCGACATGCTATCCAAGGAGCCTTCGCCCAACGGAACGACGCTCTCGTCGCAGCGCTGGCCGCACCTCTGCACCAGTGGGAGTGATGCTCCCGTTGTACGGCTTGCCACATTTAAAATAATCGTCGGCGTCCGTCCGAGGGAACGATGATGGGCCTGCTTTTTTCACCACCAGCACCAGAAATTGGAGGGAGGAAGGACGAAGAGGAGGAGGAGGAGGAGGAGGAGAAAAAGGGCGAAGAGGAGTAGGAGGAGGAGGAGGAGGACCCTTCCCCTCCAACTTCTGGTGGTGGTGGAGAAAAACAGGCCCGTCAAACGACGCTCTCCTCGCTGCCGCGGCCGCTTCCCTGCACCAACGGCACTGGCGGTCCAGCTGCGGCGTGTGCCACACGTTCTGGTCCCCACGGGGCCCCTGCCTGACGGCATGGCGCCCTCGCCGCACCCGGCCGCGGTCCCGCATGAGCGGCAGTGGTGTTTCCCCTAAGTAATTTGGGTTGCCCATTCCGACTCTGCGCATAGAGAGAGGCTCACCGCAATGGGAAGGGATGGGAGGGGAGTGCAGGGCGTTGAACATGGCAAGGGCGCACCTCACTTGTCATATACATACACACACATCCATACATACATACATGCATACAGACAGACATACCTGCATACATATACATATATATATATACATATATATATATATGTATACATGTCTCTCTCTCTCTGTACATCTCTCTCCCTCCCTCGCCCTCCCACCCTCTCTTTCTCTCTCGATTCCTCCCTTGCCCTCCCTCTCTCTATAGATGCATCCTGTTTCTTTCTCTCTCTCTCTCTCACTCTCTCCGTCTCCTCTCCTCTCTCATCGTGCCTCCTCCAGTGTGAGCGCCCCTCCCTCATCCTCGTCCTCGTCCTCGTCATCCTGCTCCTCCTCGTCCTCATCCTCCCTTCCTCCTCGGAGGGCGCAGGGAGACGGAGAAGGAGGAGGAGCACGAAGGCGCGGAGGGAGGCAGAGGAGCGAGGAGGACGGAGGAGCAGGCCGAGAGGGGAGGGAGGAGGCAGGAGGAGGCAGGAGGAGGCAGGAGGAGGAGGAGGAGGAGGAGGAGGAGGAGGAGGAGGAGGAGAGGAGGAGGAGGAGGAGGAGGAGGAGGAGGGAGGGAGGGAGGGAGGGAGGGAGATGGGGAGGGAGGGAGGAAGAGGAGGGAGGGAGGGAGGGAGGGAGAGGAGGAGGAGCAGGCTGAGGGAGGAGCAGGCTGAGGGAGGACGGAGGAGCAGGCTGAGGGAGGAGGAGGGAGGAGGGAGGAGGCAGGAGGAGAGAGACCGACACGTCTGGTGGTGCGACAGGGAGAAGCAGGCCATGCCAACGACACAGCCTGGCGCAAGCACGAGCCGGCCTGCGAGCACCTTGCCACTTCCGCCACCACACGGGTACGAGCCCAGGCGGGTTGCGTCGACGCTTTTCCACCACTCGCGCTCTGCCAGAACACGGCTCAAAGGCGCATGGCGCATAAACATGCGTAAGCAACATGCAGGTTCCTCATCCTCCTCATTGTCCTCCTCCATCGCCTGATCCTCCTCCCACACGGAAAGCGGATGAGGAGGTTACCTACCCATCCCCCGCAGGAGGATAAGGAGGAGGAGGACACGGGAAGCCACATGCAACCTGACCAGCAGGTACTGCGCAGCAGTGCCACCACCTCGTCCCTCCCCCTCCCCTTCCCCCTCTCCCCCTCCTCCTCTTCCCTCCTCCTCCTCCTCCCCCTCCCCGTCCTCCACGCCCACCCTCGCCCCTCCCCCTCCCACTCCACAATTACTCAATATGAAAATACTCTCCCTCTTCCCCTGATGGCGTCCGGGTGATGGCCGCGCACCCTCCGCGTACTGTTTTTTTACACACAGGATTCCCGGGAAATCCCGGGAAACGACTCTCGCTGAGGCGCCGGCGTCATTTTTTCCCAAAATGCTGCTCTCGTTGAGGCGCCGGCCTCATTTCTGCTCCCGAATCGTTCCGAATCGTGCTCCCGCTGCAGCGTGGGCCTCATTTTCGGATCGGTGTTTGGCCTCCGTCGTTCAGGATGGCGTTCTCGCCCCAGCGCGGGCCTTTTCTCGCGCGCCCATCCGCCCGCCACCACCGCGCCGCACCGCCACCACCACCACCACCACCACCACCACCACAACCACCACCAGCACCAGCACCAGTACCAACACCACCACCACCAGCACCACCACCACCACCACCACCACCACCACCACCACCACCACCACCACCACCACCACCACACCACCACCACACCACCACCACGACAACCACGCACACACGCACGCACGCACGCACGTGCACCACCACCCACTACGCACGCGCGCGCGGAGCCACAGGTCCGCTACGACACGCGTCCGCGGATAGAGAAAATCAGCGCCATGGTAAGGGATGGGAGGGAGGGGTAGGACGTCAGATATGACGCGAGCGCACCTAGCTTGCCATCCCCCCTCCTCCCCTCCCCCCTCCCGATGCTCCACGTCCTCCTCCTCCTCCTCCTCCTCCTCCTCCTCCTCCTCCTCCTCCTCCTCCTCCTCCTCCCCCTCCCCCCCGATCGCCGGGGAAGGGCCCCGAGCCGCGCGCAGCCCCAGGGGAGGGCGGGAACTTCCAAGCGCAGAAGGCCGTGCCTAGCGCGCGGCGCCCAGGAGGCCCCAGCTCGGCCGCGCGATGCGCCGGAGGCACGTGTTGAACGCGCCCGTGTCGAAGAGGTTTCTGGAGCCCTGCGGGGGGCGAGGAGCAGAGCCGCGGCGGCGCACTGGGGGAGGTCGAGCGCCTCCTCCCCCCCCAAAAAAACAAGAAGTTCAAGGCGAGCTGCGCGTGCCGCGGGAGGTGGGCGGCGTGCACTGGGAAGTGCTTTGTGTTTGGGAAGCAGGTTGGAAGCAGGCTCGACTTCCCAATGCACGCGGTCCATCTCAGTCCGCGGCCTCTCGCGGGCCCGGCCTCTGGACCCCGCGGGTGCGGGGTCGCGCCCTGGAATCCAGACAGCGAGGGCGCGGGTGCGGATATGTTCGCCGCTCGTGACCTGCTCCGAATCCTCTGCCCAGATCCACCCCTCCATCGGCGCGTTCCAGTACTCCTGGTAGATGACGCAATTCGTGTTCAGCATCGCTGGGACATGGCTGTAGCTGCTCCGAGACATGACCACGATGTCGGCCTGCGCGAAGTGGGCCCAGGCGTCCATAGTTGCATGGGCTGCCAAGTTTTTTTCCTCGTCGGTATGCAGTGTCATGCTTGGATGAAGAAAGAACTTCATAAGCATATAATTTTGGCGCTCCGCGCGGATTTCTTGGATCTGCGCTGGACCGTCCTCCCTGGCGCGCGGAGCGCGCCAGGGGCGGCGCCGGAGGCGCCTCCGGGGCAGCGCAGATCCCAGAATGCCGCCCTGAGCGCCCAAAGTCTATGCTCGTGCAGCTTTTCTGCTCGTCGAATGTTGCTGGTGTTCCACACGGCGAGGTCACGCCTGTCGGTGTTCTCGTCCACGTTGGCGAAGACGTGCACGTCGGCGTCCGGCAGGACGTCCGGGGGCGCCGAGGCGGGGGGGCCGGGGAGAGGGGGGCCCGCACCACCCCAGCAGGAGGAGCGCGCGGGCGGGCGAGGGGGAGGCCGGGGCACGCCCTGCGGGAAGAAGAGATCTGGACTTATGTCGGGCGTGTCCCCCTACAGAGGGATTTTTCGACGAAAAGTTAAAAGTACCCCCAAAAAATACCCCAAAAAGGTCAAACAATACTAAAACAATAATCCCCTGATTTTTTATTTTTGAATGTTTTTTTTTTTAAATTATTTTTTGTCGAAAATCCCCCTGTAGGGGACACGCCCGACATAAATCTGGACGCCCACGACGGGTGCGGCAACGTCAGGTTCGTGTCGTGCCGACTTCGGCGTTGGTTTTTCTGGCGCCGCGGGGATCGTTCAGCCTTGAACGAGCGGCCGTTTCCGGAGCGTCCAAATCGTTCCACATCGAACGATTCTGGGTCGCCCGCGGCGTTCAACGTCGAACGCCGCTGGCGGGGTCGCCGCCGGTCGACAAGACACGAATCTACCGTAGACTGCCCAACAACAAATGCTGTCCAAAACCGACAGCGGCCGCTGTTGGGCAGGCGGCTTCTTGTCTTCGCCGAGCGTCGTCCGCGGCGGCGCGGACAGCGAGTCCTGCGCAAAATGAGCAGGAACTGCTGCTGAGCATCGTACCCATTCTTTCCGTACCCAGTTCAACCGTCCCGAAAAGAGAGGGGCCTCGAATTCTGGGAAACGTCGTGTCCCCGGCAATGCCATCCCATCCGCACACCCCTGGCCCTCAACCCCCGCCTGGACGCCTCCGAGATGTGCCTGATCTTGTTGATCTTGTCCAGGTACCAGGAGTCTGGCGACCACCTTAGAGGCCTCCTGGATGTGGTCCGAGTAGATGGGGTCAAAGGATCGCGCTGCATCGCCAATGCATCACCGATGCATCGGCGATGCATCGGCGACGTCGGCGTGGCGAAACACGGGCTCCACATCGAGCCACATCGTCGATGCATCGGCGATGCGTTGCGATCGTCCGACCCCATCTGCTCAGACCCCACCTGTGAAGGGGCCCAGGAACACACAAATAAATAGACGCAAATCATAAAATTCCCAATCTTTTGCGGGGTCTTCGTCTTCCCCCCCATCTTCCCACATTTCCCCATATCTTCTGGGGAATCGACGATTCATTGTGTCTGTGTGTTCCCTTCCCCCCTGAATCTGGGAGGCCTAGACACCTGTGATTGTTCGCGCTGAGCCGCTTGACGTCGCCCCTCCGCACGTGCACCGCGACGGTCGGGCGCCCGTCGCTGGCAAACGACGTCGGGCGCGTCCTGACCCGGACCGCCATGGCCCGGAGGGTGCCGACGAAGTCCTCCCGAGGGCCGCGGCGGGGGCAGACATAGCCCCGGGGGGGGGGGGGGGAGCAGCGCATTTACCTGGGGCTCTGCCCGCCCGTGCCTGCGGCGAGGGTCCGGGGCGAAGGCGTGCCGTGCCCGGCCCCGGGACTATACTGCTCGCCCCTGCGGCGGCCGCCGGTCCTTCGTCAGGTACTGCAGGATCTGCGGCTTCGTGGTGCGCAGGGCGCCGAACTGCATGAGGACGTCGGACTGGTCGAGCATGCTCTGGCTCCCGGGCGCGAGCGGGTCGGGCTTGCCGAGGGGGACCACATCGGTGCAGTACTTCTCCAGCTCCGCCATGTTTGCGTACTTGGTCACGTGGGGCTGCCTTCTGTTCACGAACAGGTCCGTGGAGTTCAGCCCGAAGAAGAAGTCATACACAATCTTCGGGTCGACGCCGTACGGGGCGCCATGATAGACCCTGATCGGGCACTCGAACGGGATCGAGACGAAGCCCGCAGTGTTCATGCCGTTCTTGGCCGCAACAGCCATCCCCATGATCATGTTGTGGATGCGCGTTCCAACGCCGTCCGGGGACTCCTGAATCCAGAGCTTCGGCGCATCGGCTGGATGCATCGTGCAGAGGGGGCACCCGCTCAGGGACGCATTGGGCACGGACCCCACTCGCAGGTTGCTTCCCTTCTCGAAGGCTGGCAGCACGGGCGCAGAGGCTTGGCGGCGCGCACAAGGGAGCTGTGCCAGGGTGGGAGCTTCTAAGAAGGCGGGGCGGGGGGGAGAGCTGGAGGCCTGCAACATGGGGTCGGAGCAGATGGGGTCGGAGGATCGCGATGCATCGTCGGTGCATTGGCGATGCAGCGGCGACGTCAGCGATGCACCAGCGCCGTCGGCGTGGAGAAAATCGGGATCCACATCCTGCCGCATCGACGATGCATCGGCGATGCGGCGCGATACTCCGACCCCATCTGCGCGTACATCTAAGAGAACAGATGCCGAGAAGGCGGGGGGGGGCCTCTGGGAAGGCAGAGGGGCCTCTCGGGGGTCCTCCCCCCCGTGGCATCCCCAGAGCAGCCTCCCTCGCAGCTTCCAGCCTCCCCGAGAGTAAAAGGGAGAGACAGCTGCAGAAACGCCAGCCGTCGACGGTCCGCGCGGACTTCCTGGACCTGCGCTGGGCCCTTCTCCCTATAGCGCGGGCAGCGCGCCGGGGGAGGCGGTGGAGGCGCTTCCAGGGGGGGGACAGTGCAGATTCTCGGAGAGAGGGCCCCCCGTCTGCCAGGAAGTACCCCCCACCTCCTTCGTAGCCGAGAGGCCGCCCCTCGCGGGCGGGAAAGCATACCCGCATCCACGGCATCGCGAAACGGGCCCCTGGGCCGCGACCCCATGGATGCGGGACGGATGTTCGCGGAGGTCCTGCGCCGAATGTATCCATGCGACCGCGTATCTGCCACCTTAAGCTGCCAGAATCCTGAACGCGAGGGCGTGGATATGGATGCGTTTGAAGAGGTCCAGGGACACACAAACAAATACACACACACACACACACAAATAACAGGATCCCCCATATTTTCTCATATTTTCCTGGGAATCGACGATTAATTATGCCTGTGTGCTTTTTCCCCTCCTGGGATATGGATGCGTTCGCCGCTCGTGACCAAGACAGCTGGCGTGCCGATCTCTTCGAAAAGCGAGCCCCCGACCTCTCGACCACGTGCCCCTGGGCCCGTTTCGCATCCCGAATCGTTGTTCGACGGCCCCGAAGCCCTGTGAGGGCCCCGAGAAGCCGACAACGATGAAAGACATCCGACTCGATTTCTCGAGACGCCGGATGGAGAAGGTTCATCTTTCGAGATAGCGGCCGTTACCGGCAGCGCCGCCCCCCACCCAGGCAACGTCACGACTCGTGCTGACAACCGAGCTGTCCTTCGCTGTTCAAAGGCATGCCCAAACATCCCTGGTGCGAGACATGAAATTACCGACCCCCCCGCTTAATGGGCACAGTGTCCAACAAGAAATGTTGCCCCAAACCAACAGCAACCGCAATCTCACATGGACACAACCCGCGGCGACGCCGACAGCGAGTCCTCGTCATAATGAAGAGAAACTGCCCACGCTCTGCGTACCCATTCTTTCCCTACCCATGTCGAACGTCCGGACCCTGGGCAATAATGCCCTCCCCTCCCTGCCTCCTCCCTCGCGGCCGTTTTATTCGCCCGTCTTCCCTGCCCTTCCTCCCTGCCTCCTCCCTGCCTCCTCCCTCGCGGCCGCTTTTACGCCCGCCTCCGCCCTCGCGGCCTCTTTTTCGCCTCCTCCCTCGCGGCCGCTTGTTCGCCCGTCTCCCCCATCCTCCCGCGGGCGGTTCCATTGCGCCTTCCGCTGCCCAGACCGCCCGAGAACGCGCGCGCGGACTGCCCCTGCCGCGCGGCGACGTAAAAAAAAACACCCGGTGACTGGGCATAACGAGGCCCCTGATTCTGTGGGGGGCGACCCGATTCAAGAGGGCCAGGAACATCAGGGACAGGGGGGGTCTCTTCTGCAGATGTATCGAGCCAAACCCTAAACCCTAAACCCTAAGAGCTAAGAGCTAAGAACCTATACATAGTTAAATGCTGAAGCTCTCACGGCCGCCCTTCGGCCGCCCCTTATGCCGCCCCCCATTTCGGCGCACCCCTCGCGCAGATTCTTAGCCTCGGAATGCCAGAAATGGCGTTCTGGGAGGAGACGCTGGCATCGGAATGCCAGATATGGCGTCGTTACTGTCCTTTGCGAAATGCACGGGCGCGACCTCGACCCTTCCCCAGGGGCCGCCCCGTGGAGGCTCGGCTGGACATGGCCCCCTGGGTTTCCGAGCGGCTATGGCCGCCCCGTCGCGCTGACACTCCGCGGCGCGCTCAAGCGCCACGGGGCCAGCGCGGCAGGGCGACCACGGCCGCCCAGAAGCCCCCCTCCCGCGGGAGCCTCTCGCCGAGAAGCTCCCGGAGGAAGGCGCAGCTGCGCCTCGTCGGCGCTTTTCTGGGGGCGCCGCGGCGGGCGGCGGCGGTGAACGGCGCGAGCCGGGTCTCAACGCATCGCTGCGATTCCGCCGTGACGCGGTGGAGGGCTCGGCCCAGCGCCAGCGACACGGTGCGGAGACGACATCGTCGTCGTTTTGAAATCAATATGTCTCGGGTCATGGGTGGGTGGGACACGTCCAACAGGCTGCGAGTTTGGGCTGGTGGACCCAAACCCTAAACCCTAAACTCGCCCAGGGCCGCTTGGCCTGCATCCACCCACCCATTTAGGCGGCAAGCGCCCAAACTGACACCTCGCAGTCAGACTACCTCCCGGCCGAACGTGAATGACACGCCCTGTCCAGGTTGAGTCTCGGTTGCCGTCAGGCATGGCCCGCGAGGGCCTGATCTAATTATCACTGATGCGGCTTACGCGCAAGCGATTATCCTGTGCCCGCCTGGGCGATTATCTAAGAAACGTATAACCCCAAAACATCAACCGAGTTCACCGTGACGTGCGCCCTGGCCCCCCCTGGAGCGCCAACATACAATCGCTCAAAGACATGGGTTGCCAGTGGCATATCTTTTTTTCGACCTCGAACCCTATGGACCCCGCCGATCGACCGGCTTGCAAAAGACGTTTCCTGGCGACTCGGGGCCCCGCTGGGAAGCACTTGGGCCCAGCCCCTGGCGCGCGTCACAATGAATTAGCTCGCGCCCGAGGGCCCAGGGCGCTCCCGGGCGCCCCACAGACGCTCCGTGGCGATGCCGGCGCCCCTGGAGAGCCCGTGGGGCCCCCTGGCGCGCGTCACGGTGGATTAATTCCCGCCCAGGGCGCTCCCGGGCGCCCCGGAGACGCTCCGCGGCGATGCCGGCGCCCCTGGGGAGCCCGTGGGCCCCCCAAGCGCGCGTCACGTTGAAAAAGCTCCCGCCCGAGGGCCCAGGGCGCTCTGGGCGCCCCAAAGACGCTCTGCGGCCGTGCCGGCGCTCCTGGAGAGCCCGCGCCCCCCCCCGGCACGCGTCACGGTGAATTAGCTCCAGCCCGAGGGCCGAGAGCGCTCCTGGGCGCCCCGGAGACACCTCGCGGCGATGCCGGCGCTCCTGGGGAGCCCGTGGGACCCCTGGCGCGTGTCACGGTGAATTAGCTCCCGCCCGAGGGCCCAGGGCGCTCCTGGGCGCCCCCGAGACGCTCCGTGGCGATGCCGGCGCCCTTGGGGAGCCGGCTCCCCAAGCGCGTCACGGTGAATTAGCTCCCGCCCGAAGGCCCAGGGCGCTTCTGGGCGCCCCAGAGACGCTCCGTGGCGCTCCCAGGACCTCCCCAAGAGCACCGCCAGGAGCCCCCCAGGAGCCCCCGACCTCCCCAGGAGAGCACCCCGGCAGACCTCCAGGAGCTTGGGAGCGCCTGGGAGGACCTGGGGGCGCTTGGGAGCGCCTGGGAGCGACTGGGAGCGCCTAGGAGCGCCCGGAAGCGCCTGGGAGCGCCTGGGAGCGCTCGGAAGCGCTTTGGGGACGCTTGGGAAAGCCTGGAAACGGAGGAGGATGAGGAGGAGGAAGACGAGGAGAGAGGACGAGGACGAGGACGAAAACGAAGAGGAGGACGAGGACGAGGAGGAGGAGGACGAGGAGGAGGAAGAAGACGAGGATGAGGACGAGGGCGAGACCGATGATGAGGAGGAGGCGCTCGGGAGCACCAGGGAGCACCTGGGAGCGCCGGGGAACGCCTGGGAGCGCTTGGGAGCGCCTGGGAGCCCTTGGGAGCGCCTGGGAGCGCGTGGGATTGGGAGCGCCTGGAAGCGCGTGGGGGCGCCTGGGAGCGCCTGGGAGCGCTTGGGAGCACTTGATAGCGCATGGGAACGCCTGAGAGCGCTCGGGAGCGCGTGGACGCGCCTTGTAGCGCGCGGGAACGCTTGGGAACGCTTGGGAGCGCCTGGGAGCGCCTGGGGCCGCTTGGGAGCGCCTGGGAGCGCCTGGGAGCGCCTGGGAACGCCTGGGAGCGCCTGGGAGCGCCTGGGGGCGCCTGGGGGCGTCTGGGAACGCCTGCGACCGCTTGGGGCCGCCTGGAACCTCTTAAGATTTTCCCAAGAGCCCCCCAGGAGCCCCCCAGGAGCCCCCCAGGAGCCTCCCAGGAGCCCCCCTGGAGCCCCCCAGGAGCCCTCCAGGAACCTCTCAGGAGCTCGGGAGCCGCCTAGGTGCCGCGGAGCCCCCCAGGAACTCCCCAGGAACTCCCCGGGAGCCATCCAGGAACACCCCTGAGAGCTCCCCTGAGAACCCTCCAGGGCTCTCCCGATGCCTTCCTAGGCACTCCAGGCGCGCTTCGCGGTGAATCAGCTGCCGCCCAGGGCCCACGGCGCTCCTGGGCGCGCCAGCTGGATTTCGTAGTTCAAGAGGAGCGGTATCGGCGGAGCGAGCGAAGCGAGCGGAGCCGGCGCCACGAGCGCACAATCAAACGCCCGCGCGGCGTTTCACACCAAACTCTTTCCCCCGACGTAAAGAACTGTATGTCGTACGCATGAGAAAGATCGCCAGACCGACTGGAATCGTGGAGCACTAAGAGAAAGAGAACCTCGACTACCGAATGAACCCTAAACCCTAATAGAGAAAGCCGTGGGTGGTTCGCCGCCCTAACGGGCG